TAAGGCATTCCTTCGAAAACCCTCTCACCGTCGAATCGACTTGAACATTTTTTTTTTTTTGACTGGTATTAACGCGTCTTTGCTTATCTTTTGCGATGTAATTCCACGTTCCTTTCCAAATTTCACGTGATTCGATCGCATGACCAACGAGGTCAAAATTGTCTCATTATTTTCACAGTTTAATAAAAATATGATGTATGCGGTCGAAACCATCGTGGTTAGATCACGGCGAATCTGTCTTGCACGCTCACATGCGTGTTGTGTGCGCGCACACACACCGCACGCTCTAAAGTCCAGTGAACTCGAGAGAGGAGATTTCCCTATTGCAAAACACACACACACACGACCGTCGTCGCGCTTTCACCTAGCTCTTGTTCCTCGAGACGGTTCGCGCGGCCCGCTGACGTGATCCAATAATATCCATAAAAATATCGAAAACATTCGACGGACGGCGTCGTGATGAAACGGAAAAATCGTTGAAAATACGTGTCGAGATAAACGTCAACGTTGTTTTTGCGTCGTGAATCATCGGCTCGCCCGAGTTGTGTCATTCGTCGTCATGTTTCCGCCACTGCGGCGGCGCACGTTACGCCGGCCCGGCGGTTGTTCCGCGACTGCTGCCGTGAAGCCGCGCTGTCGCACCGAACTAACCGGTAACTGGCGGCGGCGGCGGCGGCGGTGGTCGTCTCGCTGCAGAGACGTTGCCAAACTCATTCGCTTCTCCGTCGGAGGGGGGGAGGCAAGTGATCGGGCGGGGCGCACGGGTTCCGTACACGCCGCCGCGGCTCGCCGAGTTACCCACGTCCATGTCGGCAATGGTGGTGGCGGTGGCGGTGGTGGTGGCGGCGGTTCGTGTGCGCGTATAAGTTTTTATTATTTTTATTATTATTATTTTTTTACGTTTCCCGCGAAACCGCCGGAATCCGCTGCCGTCGCCTACTCCGTTTTGCCTCTCCCCCACGGAAACCCGTCGTCGTGTCCCCCCTCCACCTCCTCCCCGACTCCCACTCCGTTTGACCGATTTATACGAAAACAATGCGTGTTCGCGGCTGCGGCGTCCACCGAACGTCTTCGTATTTATATTTTCTATGTGTGCGCGCGCGTGCGTACGTGTAAGAGTGAAGACCCTCTCCCTCTCTTTTTCTCCCGCCAATCTTGGCGACTAGTTTTTGTTATTCCGCCGTACACAGCCGAGTGGCTTTTGTCCGTGCGTACGACGACGACGACGACGACGACGAGTTCTGTGGTCCCCGAAGAGAGACGATTTTTATTTCATTCATTTTAATTTTTTCTCTTTGTCCCCGCTGCGCTCCGCCGCTGTATCAGTTTCGAGTAACGAGGACGGCCTAATTATCGTTTTATGGTTCGCCGAGTTATAAAAAAAATAATAAATAAATTAAACTTCAATCGCCATGTATTTATATTATTATTATAATTACGTTATATTGTACGTACATCCACCTGCTGCTGCACCGTGTTTTTGTAGTCGTTCTCTGGCGTATTATTTCCCTTGCCATTCCCGTGGAGATTGTGTAGCTAACAACAATAATATTATCGTCTTTACTGTGCGTATATAAATAAATAAATCGATAAAAGTAATTGAGGATGTACATTGTATAACCATCAAGAATTTCCATCGTATACACCCCAGTATATCGTCTTTTAAATCGTAAACTGTGGTTTTCTTTCCTTTTTTTTGGGCCAAGTCCCTTTTTTCCCCTTGCACGTAATTATTTATTTTTACTTTTATATTATATATTACATTGCAATAATAAATTAAAATATTTGATAATCAAACATCTCAAATAACCCTAATGAATCGTTTAATTAAGATCATGTAAAATCGTGGTCAATGATAATAATGCAATACTTAAAAGTTGAAATATTTTTATTATTAGATTTGTTATTTCTAATCGTCTTATTTTTCATTTATAACCTTCGTACTATTAATTATTTTTGGCACTAATCTACGAATTAAAATTAGGGCATACAGTTTTCTTTTTAACAATTAAAAATTAGTTATTTCACAATACCTTGTGATGATTTGACTTTTCATCTCTTAAAGATGTTGTCAAAACTATTTCTCGTAGTAACCCTTGATGCTAGTGCTTGTTACTTGTGTTAATTAGCAAAGTACTATGAAAATTATTATTCTAATATAATAAATAATAAATTATTGCATAAGAATTGAAATACCATATTTATTCAATACTAAAAACCAAATTAATATTTATTATATAATATTATAATTTCTTGTAAATGTCATTTAAATATGACTAATTGGTATAACTATTGATTATAAATATTAAATAATATAGATCGCCCTCTACAGTACAGATAGTCTGCGAAAAGTGTTTATTTATAATTAATAGTATTATGCAATCATTATTTCTCCCTGACGTTCAATATCCGTTGATTTTTTTCTAGAAACGGTAAAATTAAGTGTATCCTATTTTTAGTTGCTCAAATAAGTTTACCATCTAATTAATGTTTTTATTCTTCGACATTCAACTACAAATATGATCTTGATATTTTAAAAAAAAATATGTATAAATCGTCACTTTTTCTTACTAAAGGTTATCATACATAATTTTTAAATGATTATGTGTACAATATATTATATTTATATAAATTGTACGATTAAACTGTTTGAATAATTCAATTTATTACAATTATTGTAATAAAAGTAATGAGAATGTAACCTTCTGCCTTGGTTTTCACATCAGATAATAATATATAAATGCAGTACAGATACAATATATATATATATTATTAATTACCTATTTTTTTTTTTAGTATAAAAGAGTTAGGATAAATAAAAAATTAATTTATTTCTATACGCTTTAGGTTAAGAGGACATATATTATAGTTTACTTATCAATTAATAAATATATTGTCGTAAGTATTAAATACAATTTTATGGTTTTATATAGAATATAAAAATTAAAATGCAGTTTTAATTCGAATTTAGAAAACATATCAACTGGGCTATTTTTTTATGTAACTTAAATGAACATTTTAAAAATAAATAATAAGCAAATACATTTTTATTTATAATAAAATTGATATAAACAATGATTTTTCATAATCCAGATTTTGTAAACCATTTATTTTTAAATCAATTTTTCGCTTTAATTATTTTCGATAAGATTTCTAATAAAAATGATTAAGGTATATTATAATTCAGTTATAAATACATAATGGTTTTTAGTACTTTTCTTTTTTTATCATATTACTATTAAAAAATAATATTTTAATGCAAATAGAAAAATTTTAATTTTGTTATATTTTTAATTAATAGGTAAATGAAGCAAAATGCTCGTATTTATTAGTATATCAACGTTGTAAATTACATACTAAATTAAAATGTTTTGAGCGAACAAACGCCGAAACGCGTGGTCAAATATTTTAATGTTTAAGAATTTATAGGTAAATTCTAAAAATGCTCTAAAAACAGGAAAATATACCCTAAAAATTCATATAAAATTAAATTTGTCATAAAATGCAAAATAAAAACTACATTAAATTAATTAGTATCACTTGAAACACATTTTCTGCTTACGGACCTAAGTGTTTAGACATGAGGAAAAAAGATATATTTCCATCAAAATCTTACCCCTAATAATGTTCATACTTATGAAAACATTATTCTTAAAATATTCAACATTTATACTAATCTCCTAAAATACAGTTGAGTCGTTTTTGTTTTTAATCTATACAGAAATTTAAAAAATGCATTGTAGCTAAACAAAAATTACAAATCGATAAATTATATATTTTTTATGACATTAACGCGTTATTATGTTGAACTGAAATAAGAGTAAATGTATGCATAAGAAAATTAAAATGTATTCTACCAATATATTTTCTACTATATACAGAGTTACACTAATCTACATTTAAGGACATTCAATAATTTATGTTAGACCTTGAATGAATTTATAACAAAAATAATAAATTATAATGATGTGCAACAATTATTAATAATTAAACATAATTTAATGTTATCTATGTAGGTGTTTGTTTTGGTTTTGGTTTTAATTTGTTTATTACGTCACGAGTTTTTTTAATCCTTCATGTTTTGTATAATTTTTTTTTTTTATGTACAATTTGAATAGAACATAGGTGGATTTTTTATTTCAACTGTTCAAAACATTGTTGCATTACAATATTGCTTCATGAGGGTTGTTCTCCATTGTAATTTATCGTATTATGTAATATATAAAATAATTTTAACTAACCTTCGTTGCATAATCAATAGGGATCGTCTGTTATTTGTGTGAATACAATTTGTTCTAAGACTATATGTTATCACAGTGGTCTGTTTCCATCGATATCTTCAAACGTAAAGAATTATTGTTGTATAACTGAACTCTTTATTTTTCTGCAATTATATTGTCTGCCTCCTCGTATATATTTAAACAAAATTGCTTCTTGGCGTTTAATATATTTTACAAACATAAAATAATTTACAAATATTCATTATATTATTATTCATATGTATCTAATTAAATCGTAAATACTATCTACAATATTAAACATTATTATGATTTATTTTAAACAATCATCATAATTGATAAATATTGAATATTTTATTGTAACTTACACACATCATAGTTGTTAGGTTATGTAAGATTAAGTTTTAAGTATAATATAGTTATAATTTATAAACAAAAAACTATTTTGCATAGTATACATTAATTATTTATTCAAAATATGATATTAATTTAGACAACATAGCTGTGTTGTACATGTTTTTAAAAGAACTGTTCAATTAATCTAGTTATTTAGTTTAATTTATAAACTTATTATAATACCAATCATATACATACATTTTGTATGAATGAGATTATTTTTTTTGCGTACCCATTTTTGATATTAATTTTATTAACCTACTGACTTTTGTTTAAAAATAACATAAGATATTACTTGTGGTGGAATCCTTAGTATTTTATTTTTTTTAAATGTACATATGTGTAACCTTTGGTATTTTTTCTTAGGTCTCCTTTAGAGGAACTCAGCAGCTTTGAACGCTCTAGTCATTTTTACGATCGTGAACGAGAGACTAGCTACCGCGGCCGACCGCCTGCTGCCGGCTATCACGTTGTATCGCCGATTCAAGGATCGCCTGACCCTCTCCGAACCCGACCTCGTGACAGGGCTGTCTTCAGGGCATACCCGGCGCTTGAAAGGTAATTATCATCATAGTTTTGGGCTTGAGAAATGGAAGTAGCTAAGAGGTAATAATTTTAGATTCAGAACGCACAATGAAAGTAGATGATATTTGGATTATTAAACGCTTTCTGGTGGTAAAATCATATTTTTTACTTGAAGTACTTGGGAAGTATTTAAAAGTTTTGATACATGACGTTTTTCACTTTTAATATTCACATTCAGAAGTTATGAATTATGATAACATTTTAATAATAATTCCGATAAAATAAAAGGTCACTCCAACAATTGAGTATTATTTTTGTCTCTAGCAAACCAAATAATAATTCTAAAATAGTCGGCTATAATTTCTGTTGCTATTACACAATTTTTTTAAAATAATTTAACTAAGATTAAATACTGCAAATAAAATACACATTTTTTACTGATAAATGTTTAATATTCAAATCATAATAAAAAATCTTATTAGTATATTACTATTTCCTTGTATCAAACCGTTTTAAATCATTCGTTATGCTAATCATCCATTAATTTAAATATATTATACTAACCGAAATACTTTATAAATGTGTAAGTATAAATAATGTAACTACATAAATTGATCATTGTTCTATTTAAATTGGACTTATGATTATTAAAATGCCTTGTAATATCTAGTGTTAAATTTTAGCCTTGTATTAGCTTTTTTAGGAAGTTCAGATATAGTTATTTTTTAGTTTAGATATATTTGTATACTTATTTGATTATGTTTATAATCATTTTAATAGTTTTTAAATAATTATTGAAAACTAATGATTTAAATATTAGTGTAATTTTAGTGTGTAATAATTATGGGGGATATCCAATTTTTCCCAGCGTTTATGGACGACCGACTGTCACTGTGGCATAGCAGTATTGATTTGTTAGTGTTTACGACGCGAGCGATAGCAGAATGGGCGTGAGGGTGGAAGGGAGCAAAGTCCTGGCTCTTGCAACCCCATTAGTATTCCAACAGTTCCCTGGGGTTCTTTGGACGCTATTGCCGTGCGTGCGCTTGCCAACATGGTCATTTTTCGATATTTTCTTTTTTAAGTTATTTTAAATATTTATTAATATTTTAGTTATTTCGTAAACTAAAAATATATTCACAATTAGTACTTTGTTAATATCCAAGTTTATTATGTCGTTAATAATTTATTAACTTTTGTGATGTGAACATGTTACATAATACATATTTTTCACCATGCATGTTTCGTGGGTAGATTTTTAACAGTGAAATAGCAACAGGTTTATATTGTTGTCGTCAAACATAATATATTTATGTTTGTTTTATAGCGTTGTCACTACTTCCAGAGGTCACCATCACCGTGTTGGCAGCTGGGCTTATGAAGCCAATAATTCTAGGTTCGCTCACCACATAAGTAGTTGTAGTTCACCAGATTTATCATATTCGGAGGATAGGCGGGTGGAACCACCTTTAATTATTGTCCGAAATAAACCACATATAAAACCCCCAAGGTATGTTAACTAATTATATTATTGTTTTATTCTCATTTAAATGCAATTTGTATTAAATGCGTTTCCTTTATATAGTGAACCCAGGAGTGAGGAGGATCGTTCTGGATCACCTTCAAGCTCTAGTTCGACTGTAAGTCAATCAGGGGCAAGTAGTTCATGTAGTTCGTCCTCATCACCTAGCCCTATACCACAGCTGCCACGAAGCCCTAGTCCAGGTCCCGCATTATCTGATAAGTCTTCTTCAAGCCATAGGTAATTATTATTATTATTATTATTATTAACTATGCAACTTTTTTCATTTCTTCGGTTTTTTTAGCCTTCATGGTAGCTCGAAGAGCAGCACTGTTCCGTCCCACGCCAATTGTGCGCAGTTACCGAACTCAGATAGCCAAACATCGCTCTCAGCGTTTGAACAACAAAGGCATAACGCTATTTGTATAAAAAATCTACCTTCAAGATCTAGTGGTAAGTTCGCTGTTATTTTTTATTTATTTCATTCAATAATTTATTAATTAATTATTTATTAATTTTTTAGATACTAGTCTTAAAGACGGTTTATATCACGAGTACAAACGACACGGCAAAGTGACGTGCGTAAAAGTGGTGGGCCAAGGGAGCGATAGGTACGCCTTGGTATTCTTTAAAAAGACTGAAGATGTGGATAAAGCGTTGCAAGTGTCTCATGACAAATCATTTTTTGGTACTAAAATCGAAGTTTCTGCATACCAGGGGCACAAGGATGTGGACGACAATGAAAGCAGGTAATGTATCTTAATTATTTATTTATTTACTTATAGAGGTTATTATTTTTCTACTTGTACCATTAATTTTTAATATAGACTATTTTATTTTGTAAAATTTAATTTCAAATTATTATATAATCGTTAAATTAAAATTTATTTTTCTTAATAGAAATTATTTAAGTTAAGAAGATCAAATAATTAATGTTATATATATTTTTATACATATGTACATTATTGTACATTCATTTTTTTTTTAAAAAAATAATTAATTTAAATTAAAATATATTTAACTTTAGGCCGATTGAAACAGACGTGGATGAGTTCCATTCCAAGGCAACAAGAACTCTCTTCATCGGTAACCTAAATAGTAATACAGTTGCTGCTGAAGTTAGGAAAAATTTTGAAACATTTGGTGAAATCATTGTGAGTGATTTTTTAAATTAAGGTTTGAATTATATTTTATATTATGTATTCTTTCATAGGAAATTGATATAAAAAAAGGAAATAACATCAATGGCAGTACAACTGGAACATATGCATTTGTCCAGTACATTGATATATCTAGTGTAGTAAAAGCTATGCGAACTATGGATGGTGAGTTTTTGCAAGGAAGTCGTATAAATCTAGGGTTTGGAAAATCCCTGGCAACTACATGTGTTTGGATTGATGGTGTTGCTGAATCTGTCAGTGAAAAATATCTGGCATCTCATTTCAATCAATTTGGCAGTGTAACTCACTGTGTAATTGACCGATCGCGAGAACATGCTTTGGTGTTTTTTCAACAGGTACAGCATTATATTAATTTTATAGATAACATCCTTAGATATCTATTGTTTTATAAAAAATGTATTTATAAATAAATATTAGGGAAAAATAGTTATTAAACAAATAAAATATCTCTATTTAGCCTTACAGTTACTGTTTGTTTTATTTATCTATCCTTTATACTATAAATATACACTTTTTCAGACTTTTTTTTCTATACACAAACATTTATTTTATAAAACAAAAATACTGTAATTTATACATCATCAAGACTTCTTCTCTATTTTACTTTAAATTTTTTGAAGTTATTTTAATTTAGGATGTCTATTAAAAAATGAACAAGCATACTTTTTTAAAATGTCTATCATTTATCATTGAATCGAAATAATAAAATTTTTAAACATAAAATATACCAGCTAAGACGAATAAAATAGTTTTATAAATGTGATGCTATTGTTTTATTTATATTACTTATTTTATATTTTTCTTTTAATGGATTTCTACTATATATGTATTGTTGAATGAAATTCATGGTCTTAAATAATAATAAAAAAAAACCAATTTATGTTTTTAATTTTAATTTTTAATTTAATTTTTAGATAACACATGCACAGTTAGCTGTTACTCAAATGCGTGGTTCCATTATGAAAGGTCGGAGACTTCAAGTTGATTTTGCATCTAGAGAATGTCAACAAGGATTCTACGAACACTTAGATAAGACATCTAGTGAATCTAGTCCTAGATTCACTAGTCAGCAACACGATAACACTGCTCAACTATCTCCTGGTAGTACAAATGGTGTTGCTATTCGTGGTTTTGAAACTCCATCATCGTCTTGCAGCAGTGCAGCTGGTGACAAAAGTTATCCTAGGAATCCTGATGAACCCCGTAATAGTACAGTTTCTGTTCCTAACCCTCAAGACATGCATAACTTGCAAAAAGAACGGGTTTCCCTACTGGAACAACTCGAAGATTGCAACAGCTCTGGTGATGAAATTCTGAATGATTCATCAAAAGCACAGCAAGTTAAAAGCCGCTCGAGCACACCTATAAGTGACGAACGCCCACCGGAGAGTCTCACGCCTCCGACACAAGTTCCTAGATCTCATGTACCGATCTCGTTGCCGTTGCCCAGATTTGCTGTGCACGTCTCTAATCCTCTGCTCAGCCCACCATTAAGCTCTCCTAGGAGACCGCAGTCATCCAATTCTGATGATTCTCAAGCCTCTGATCCTGGTGCACCAGGTCTTGAAGAAAGGTTAAGAAGTCTCGATGAAAAATATGAACAGTGGAGTGGTTCTAGAACAAGTGTTCTAAAACTTGATACATCTGTTCGACTTCGATCTAGATACAAATTGTTAGACACTGTTGATAAACTAGAACCATCAGATATTGTCAAGTCTGTACTTGCAAAACCAAGTGTTTTTGATGAAGATACTAAAAGACTTGAAAATTTTTCTGACAAATATATACCTAAAGAATTTGTTCCATCTAGAACAAGTCCTAACTTACAGAACTTTCGACAACAACAAATTGGCTCATTTTCGCCATTAACGCCATCAAGTAGTGGATCATCAAAATCTCCACCAGCTTCATCCCCTGCTGCTGTTAAAACTCAATATTCATTTCCAAGTCATCCTCAACCTTTACCAGTTACACAAAATTGTAGGACTTCTCCAACAGAAATTCGATTGACAACAGCTGATCCTAGGCTAATTGACCCTAGGTTAGCTGATCCTAGACTATCAGCTGATTCAAGAGGATCCTTTTTAACTAAACAAAATATTTGCACTATAAATGATAACAGATATATACCTGATATATTAAATACAAAGGATCCTAGGCATCCTATACATAAAGATGCAGAGATAAAAGATGGTCCAGAAGCATTTTATAGAAGTAAAATCCGTGATGAATACACTAAAAACTGGTTACACACATTTGAACGTAAAGATAACGAACCAACCTATAGGTTAGTTGATACATTTGACCGTCGGAGGTTTAGTGACTACAGAAAAGAAGAAGATGAAAAATTAAAAATTGATCAAATAAATAAACAGAAACTTTTGGATGGTTTTATTATAAAAAGAAAAACTTCAATGGAAACAATAGTTCATCCTAGTCCGTTCTTTGTTGGTGTTCAAGAAAAACCAAAAAATATTGATGACACTAAAAAACTATCTGATCTTAAAAAAATTGAAGAAATCCCTAAACGAGAAGAACGTATAGAGATGAAAAGAGCAGCTGAGGAAATTAAACCTCCAGAACCACCTCCAACAGTAAATAGTGTTGAAGAAGAAAAAATAGATTTCATTACTAATGAGAATACTATTGCAAATATTTTATTATCTTCTATTGAAAATTTACATAGGAAGACTGAAACTGAAGAAACTAGAAGTAAAGTTGACAGAGCTAATTCCAACGAATCAGTTAGTAAACATCTAGATACTGAGAAAAAGAAAGAAATAGTTAGTGAATCGACAAAGAAAAAAGAACATGAAAGAAAAAAATCTATTGATTTTGAACATCCCAAAAACAAAGAAAAGAAAGACCATGAATCCAAGAAGATTTTGAACTCTACTAAATTAAAGGAATGCGAAAACGGCAAAAGTAAGGAACTTGAGTTTAACATGTTTGAAATAAATCGAATCAACAACAAAAAAAAAGAAGAGCTTTCAATAAATGGTAAAACAAAAGATAATGAAAAAAAGAAAGATTTACTGAAATCAGATAAAAAACCTGAATCTAAAAAAGAAGATAAGAAAAAAGATGTTATTAAAGAGACCGACAAAAAAGATGATGTTGACAAAGTGAAAGATAAAAAGAAAGACAAACGTGATAAAGATTTTCCTAAGCACAAAGAAAGAAAAAAGAGTTTGGATGAAAATAATAAACACAAACATGAAAACAGTAAAAGATCAAAAGAACATTATAAAAGCAAAGAAGAAGAAAAGGTTCATCAAACTGTCACATCTGATTTGGATGTAAAGTTTAATGATGACAAAGAGTCCAAAAAAGACAAACGAATTGATAGAAATAGTATCAGTAGTAATAGCTCAACTGGACGTTCAACTAAAAGAAGAATGAGTGATAGCTCAGAAAACCTTGATGATTCTAAAAGATCAAAAATGGATATTAAGAATATTAAAGATAAAAATCATAAAAAATCTAATGAAAAACATATTTCCTTTATTTCTAAAATTTTGGATGGTAAAAATAAAGAACAGAAAAAAGATCATCACGATAAAAAGATTGAAAAGAAAAAGGAAGAAAGGAAAGTTATCAAAACTCCAAATCAAACAGAAACTGAAGATGATGATGAAGATGAAGAAGCTAGAGAAAGAAGAAAAAATCATTCTATATTTGAAGTTGTATTAGATGAACCTTATGTTTCAATGTATGATAAAGTTAAAGCTAGATCAACCAAAAATATGCAAAAACAAGAGGAGGAGAAACGTCAAGAAAAACTTAAAGAGAAATTTAGCCAGTTGAAGCAAAGTAGAGCAAAAAGAGAAGAAAAGAAGCGATCTACATCTTATGATGGAGATTCTGATTCAGATTGTGGTGTAAGACGTTCTTCTAAATTGCTCATCACTAGCTCAGATGATGATGACGACTATTTTCATCGTAAAAATCAAAGACCTGTTTCTGATTCATCTGAAAATGAGAGACCAAAAATTCAAAGAACAGTATCTGATCTTTATGAAAGTAATAAGATAAAAAATCAAAGAAGGTCTGTTTCATATGAAAATGAAAGATTAAAAACTCAAAGAGTTGTATCAGATTCTTCTGAAAATGAAAAGTTTAAACAAATACCTAAATTTAAATCTAGAATACAATCTGAGTGTAGTGATAGTGATGATCATTTTGTTCGTAAAAGTGAATTCACTTTTGACCGAATACAAAATGATGCTGGTGTTCAAGGATTTAATGGACACCAAAAAAAGAAAAAACAAAAGAAACAGAAGAATGAATATTCAAGAAAATCAATTGATATTAATGGATCTGATAGTAATCACCGACCAATCAAAGAGAAAAAGAAAAAACATTCTATTAGTCATAAATCTAATATTAATGAAAGAATGCAAGATATATTTGGATCCTTATCTGATGAAGATAATGAAAAAACAATTGTTAACAAATGGAGTGTATCTGATGTTTTTGGAACTGATTCTGATACTGAACACGAACGAAAAGAAAATAAACCAAAAATGGATGTTAAAAAGTTTAATGACTTTGGTAAGGATGTGTTAAAGTCACTTTCACATAATGTTGATGAAGTAGCTCGAAAGAAAAAGAAAAGAAAGAAAGATAAAGAAAGAAACAAAGAGGACCGAAAAGAAGAAAGAAGAGAAGAACGAAGAGATGAACATAAGGAAGAAAGAAAAAGTGATCGTCGAGAAGATCGAAAAGAGATACATCTAGATCGTAAAGAAGAACGAAAAGAAGACAGAAAAGACGAATCAAGAAGAGAAGAAAGAAAAGATGAACAACGGAGAGAAGAACGTAAAGAAGAACAGCGTAGAGAAGAATTGCGTAGAGAAGAATTGCGTAAAGAAGAACAGCGTAAAGAAGAACTGCGTAAAGAAGAACAACGTAAAGAAGAACAACGTAAAGAAGAACTACGTAAAGAAGAATCACGTAAAGAAGAATTGCGTAAAGAAGAACTGCGTAAAGAAGAACTGCGTAAAGAAGAACTGCGTAAAGAAGAACTACGTAAAGAAGAACTACGTAAAGAAGAATTGTGTAAAATAGAGCATCGAAAAGATGAAAGAAAAGTAGAAGCTAGAGAAGAAATTAAGAATGATAGAAAAGAATTAAAAAGTGAAAGATTAGTAAGTGTTGCCAATGAAGAAAAAAAAGGGATTAAAGAAATAAATAGTGAAAGATTAATAAATATAGCGCATAATGAAAGAAAGGTATCAAAAGAAATAAAAAATGAACGATTAGTAAATACAACACATGAAGAAAAAAAAGTGTCTAGAGAATCGAAGAATTATGGAGAAATAAAAGTAATGGATAATCTTCAAGGAATTATTGAGTCAAAGAAAAAGTCTAAAGAATTTGTTGCCAATAATGTTAATGCAATCACTCCAAACAGAGATGTATTTTCTACATTTTTCGATTTTGATGACTCTAAAGGTGCAGAAGATGAGACAATTACTATATTTAAAGGTGATGATGACACTGTTAAAACTGAAGTATTGTTTCGAAAAGTTGATGAGAAAGAAGAACTATTATTTCGACCTATTAATAAATTTGAACCAATTAAAAGAGAAATTATTGGTTTTGGATCTCATATGGATGATGAAACTGCTGTAAAAAGTATTTCTGAAACACTTGAACCTTCAATAGAAGAAGCTGATCCTGTTGAAATTACTTCTCCTGAAGAAAAGTCAACACCAGTAATTTCTCAAGAGGAAACTGAAGGAGCTGTTGCAGCATTATTGGAAGCTTCATTTGGTCAAGATTTCTGTGATTCTTCGTATTCTGATAGATCAGCAAAACCTGATACTCCTGTTTCAGACAGTGAACTTAGAATCGACACTGATGATGAAGATAGCGCAGATTCAATAATTGATGAATGTAAGAATGATATTACTGATTCTTCAGATATTTCAATCAACATTAGTAAAATTGATGAAGATTTTGAAAAAATAGATAAAAAAGAAATAGTTGTCTGTACTGAAAAAATAATAGTAGAACCTGAAAAAGAAAACGAGACTAAATCTATTAAAAAACCACAGTTGCCTGAACTTCAACAGGAATTGCCAATGCCTGAACCTGACACAAAACCACAATCACCTTTAAGTCATAATTTTAGATTACCACAAATGGTCATTCAACCATTGAATATTAGTTATACTAAACCGTTAACAGAAATAAAACCACCTTTATTATCATCTCAAGAAATCCCTGAGGTAGTTGTTGAAAATATTTCAAAACCTGAGCCTAAGACTGATGATCATGTTTCTGTTGTAAAATATTCAACTACTCATATGCCAACTGTAATATGCCAAGAACAATCTGTTATATCATGTGCACCAATTACATTACCTAAACAAGAATTTAGTCAACCGTCCGTTTTACAACACACTAAAGATACTCAAATTATACAAAGCTGTATTGTTTCACCCCCAATTATTTTACCTGAAGTTGATAAGCCAAGTTTTGATACTAAAGAAGAAACAATTGTGGAACAACAGGTGGTTGTTGATGAACCAAAAGTCGCCGAAGAATCGTCATCTAATCAGGCGTCCACAATAACATTTGCTAAAAAGTCAATAGTTTATGAAGATAAATCAGAACCTGAAGAAATCTTATCTCTAGCTACAAAACATGAAAAACAACCTGTATATGCTACAACACTTATGGTACCTGCTGAAAATGAAGATAAGTCAATGCCTAAACATCCTAAAGCAAAAGGTCTTGAACGTATTGTTGAACAGATAAATGAAAAAATGAGAGCTAAAGCGAATGAATCTGCATTAAATTTAACAAAAGAACCTAGAATGATGCCATTAAAAAAAGCTATAGTTGCAAAAGATAAAGATGAAAATAGAACTGATAGTAAAGTTGATATTTTGGAAGTTAAGTCTAAGATGGTTGAAATGGAATCTCCTGAAGATTTAGTTGTAGCTCCATTGACACCAAAAGTTGAAGACAAAAATGAAGTTTTTGCTAGTCCTGGTGAAAGTAGTTGCGAACCAAAAGAATTGGATACTGCAAGAATAAAAAAGGATGATGAGTTTACAAAAGATATGTCAAAAATTATTGATAAAGGTAAAATTAAAAAATTTTTAATACAATTATTTTGATGTAATTTATTATTATTTGTGTAGATTTTATTATTTCTATTTCTTTTTTTTAGATTCATCTGTTAGAGGAAGACGGAGATGTGGTAGAGGGCGTGGAACTCGTGGAGCCCCAACTATAGTGACTCCAAGAAGAACTCGACAAAATATCATAACTCCAAATATGCCTCAACATAGCACTTTAACGGATGTATATGAATTCACAGATGAAGATGAAAAAGTCAGCCAAAAGTATAGTAAATCTCCAGAACCCCCTGTAACTAGTGTTATGCCAACTGTTGTTTCATTATCTCCACCAGCTGGTGCTTTAGTAGTGAGCACTTCTCCACTGACAAGAAAATCTAGAAGGCTACAGGTAAATTAGTTAAATTTAGTTAGTTGATACTCATTTATTTTTACACGTGTATGTATTTTTATTTAGGAAAAAGATGGAAGTAAGAGTACTTTAGAAGAAACAATTGATGAAGTTGCTCGTGGCCCTTGTACTCGACGCACCACACGTTCTAAACCCTTAGCAATACCTTTACTAAGCTTAGAAACATCTCCAAGAAAAAATAAACAAATTAATGGAAAAAAATTGAAAGCTGAGTCCCCTCAACCAACATCTAAAACAGAAATTATTGATACGACTTCATCTAATGAACTAAATGATGATAAAAATTTGCTGTCAACATCGTCTTCATCATCGACTACCTCTGAAACAACGACGTTAATTGATCCAGTTAGTGGTCTTCTTATTCCTATGCAAGAATCTGAAGAAGGTCAATATGTTCCAATTGATGACCGTGATGATAATAGGTAAACATTTTTATACGTTAAATGAAATGAATAATTTATTTATTTAGTATGTAAATGTATCAAAAATAACATATCCAACAAATATCTATAATTCCTACTTATTTTTTAAATTTCTATTTTTAAATTATTATTTTTTTTTTTAAACATTTTTAGAAAAACTATATAAAATTTAAAAAAATATCGCACATTTCTTACTTTTGAAATCCTAATTCAAATATTATTCAAGAGGAATAATTTTGTTCCTACTGTTGTGTGCATAAAATCTCATTCTATATACAATATTAACATTTTAAAACATATACCTCTTAATATAGATTTATTAGATTCAAATAAGTAATTCACTAAATTCACTAAATTATTTAGTACTATAACTGATTAAATTTTATTTTATTGGAAATAATTTTTAGAATGTGATGGTTCGTTATATAATATTTATTTTATTTTTTACAGAAATCGAAGATCTTCATCTGATGAACCACCTGAGAAGAGAGCTCGCCTTGAAAAACTCCCTGTTCCATCAATATCAGTGTCTAAAAATAGTACTACTATTCCAGCTTTGGCAGTTACACCAAATAATATCCTTCCAGCCACGACTACAACATACGCAGTCACTCCTGGAATGTCAAATGTTGCTAAGACACCTTGTGTAATGACAACTGCTAATACTGCACCTGTTGGACTTGTTAAACCTAATATTACAGCTTCTGTGATTGCTCCTACAAATGTTCTAAAATCAACTGCTGTTATGGCTCCTTCACCACCACCACTTAAAACCCAATCAACAACTCTCAATAAAGTAACTCAACCTATAATTAGTCAGCAACCAATTTGCAAGCCTTCAACTCCAATTTCTTCAATGCAACCACCAGTCAAATCTCATTTAAATGCTATAAGTCGTACACCACCATTGCCAAAATTGTTATCTCCTAAAGGACACATTGTACAAGCATATACATCACAATCAATGGAAGCGATTAATCAGAATTCAGTATTACGTCCTCCGACACCTCAACCATCACTACCATTACAACCATTATTAGTACATACACCTGGTATAATGAGCCCTCCTTCAAGAGTTGCCTTGCACTCTCCATCATCGAGGGGTGTATTAAGTCCACCTAGAGGATTATTAAGTCCGCCATCTAGAGCTGTACCACCATCACCACAGCCAACTCCAATTGCACACAACTCATCAACTGTACCTGATGTAAATATTAAAATTATTAATATGTTTAATCATATTATTTATATTGATAAATAATATTTTTTTATTTTAGATTATTTGTCCAAAAGGATTTGATCCTTCTAAAATGGAAAATTCAAGATGCATTGTTATGAGAAGTCCACCACCTCTTGTGTTATCAGGTCAATCAATGGCATTTGAGGCAGGCATTGATTCTGTACCGATAAATATGGTTCCTGCTCATCATTATATTCATCCACAACTTATTTATCATCCACAATATGTCAGAGATCCTATGGGAGCCTTTATTCCACCGAGTAAGATAATTATTGGCTCTTAATATGTTAAAGATTTTAATTATTTTACTAAATTTCATCTTATAGGGAACTTGAAAGTGGTACCAGAAGTTGAAGAAAATATTCCACCATTAGAATTACACAATAGGCTTCCTGATGAATGTATCACTGATAGATTACAACATCTTAGTGAAGCGCAACAATATATAAATGCCCAACAAGTGGCTCATCCAATTGGTAGTCTTCCATATGGGCAAGTAGCGCCAATTAACTATGGTTATCGACCCATAAATTCCATATTAAAGGTAAATAACAATTATTATATATTTATATACATAGATCAGTGATTATTTCCTAAGTTATCTGATGTATTAAAAATAAAATCAATGAACATTGTAATCAAATTAAATTTAAATAATATTATATTACAGAACTATCCTATTTACTGGCAAGGAACATTGGCATTAAAGAATGACAAAGCACTTGTAGAAATGCATTATTTATTTGGAAATGCAGCTGTTGCTGAACATTCATTGCAGCGTAATATTGATGGGGAATTGAAGTTATCACAACGTATGAGATTAGAACAAACACAATTAGATGGTGTTTCACGCAAAATGCAGGTAAGAGGCATAAACAAATTTAAAGAAAATGTTCAATACATACTTATATTTTTTAAAAATTGGATTAAATAATTGTTTAAATTTATATCAGATTGAAGACGAATGTTGTGTGTTGATTGCTGTGCCAATTGGTATGAGTGAAGAAGAATGGAGTCAACAAAGCTGTACATTGCATAATGGTTTCATTACTTATTTACAACAAAAACAAGCTGCAGGAATTATTAATATCACAGCACCTGGAAGCACACAGGTATTTAAATTAATACTAAGGAATTATTAAAAAAAATTTTAGTATTTTAATAATTATAAATTATGTTTAGTCAAATGAATCATTGTGTATTTTTAATATAACAATATTACTTATTTAAAATTAAAATATTATGACCTCTAATATTTAGGATTAGATTATGGATGTAAGTTTTATATGCTACACATATTATTTAATATTTAAAAATGAACAATCTCATTTTTCCTATGTCCCATTATTTAAAATCATTTAAGTTCCAAATTGGGTTTCCAAATGTCCAAACTCAAAATGGAAAATGTTTAATTTTTAACAGGCAGGACCTGAGCTGCCACAAGCAATTCTCTCCATCTTTCCCTGTCCAATGCCAGGTCAACTGTCACATTTCTTCCCAAAATCTTGATATCTTTCTCTACCTCATCTTTCCACCTCGTTCGTGGTCTGCCTATCGGTCTTTTTTTATGTATGATCTCCGTTAGTACTTTTCTTATGATGTCATTATTAGCTCTCCATACATGTCCAAACCATTCCACTCTCTTAAATTTGTATACGATGAAATATTGGGTTTTTAATATAGTCTGTATAGGTCGTCATTCTTTCTTCTCTCGAAAAATCCTAACTCTATATTATATATTAGGCCAAAAATGTTTCTAAGTACCTTTTGTTCGAATATTGCCAATCTGTTGTCATCACCTCTCATTGAGGACCATGTCTCACATGCATATGTGATTACTGGTCTTAGATAGCTTGTGTAGAGCAGAGTTTTTGATTTTCTTGACAGTAATTTGGACTTAAGTAGCTTACTTATACTATGATAGCACCGGTTCCCACTAGCTATTCTTTCACTTATTTCTCGGTGCTTGTAATTTTTACTATTTATATTCACTCCTAGGTACTTAAAATTTTCATGTTTTAACATATTTATGTTGCATAAATATTTATTCATCAAAATCCGAGTTATTTTAATGGTTTACAAGTATATTTTTGAAATTATTTTAATACTATAGCCTTTGACTCACAACCTTAAAGGTATAACTTATACTCCTTAAGTCATATCACTGTTATATTATGTGTTTACTTATAGATAATCATATATTATGAAAATATTTACATTTTAAAAATGTATATTTGACTAAATTATTTATAAAATTTGTTTCAGAATGCTTATATAGTGCACATGTTTCCGCCATGCGACTACATTAATAGCGTCCTAGCTACAGTTCATCCTACAATGGTGAAACAGATAGCATCCATGGCTCATTTGATAATTGTCATAGCCACCGTGTAAATATTCTATAATGAGTACAAATTTCATATTTCTTCTAGCACATTAGGTGCACAAAGTATATATCTATATATATTATATTAAAAAAAATAAAAATAAAAAAAATCATTAAAGAATGATAATTGTTAACAATTTTTATTATTATTATTATAATTATTATAATTATTATTATTATTATTATTATTATTATTATTATTATTATTATTAT